AGTGATGGTGCAGCTGTGCTAACAGCATGCTTGGTGTTTGAAAAGACACCTACACAGAGGAGAGTTCTTCAGCAAATATTCCACCAGCCTGGTCAACAGTGATCAAAGCCAATATTTACTTTACTAATACCTACTTCTTCTGGATAACTGTTACAAAGACTGGCTTTTCTGAGGATATTGTCATCTTCATGAGCGCTAAAACCCACTTAACAAACTACCTGCTGAATTTTCCCCTAGTACATCCTAGCTGTTTAGAAAGCTTTCTGGTGACTAACACTGAGCTGAATTGGGAAAGACCTTACAAGGAGCCACCTGAGGTGTCTTTGGTTTCTGTTTTCAGAGAAAATTCAGCTCACAAGATAATCTACCCCAGCTCATTTAAAACTGAACGTATGACAGCCTAAAACCAGGAAAATTCAGTCAACTAAACTTACTCCCAGTTACTCGTTGATTAAAGAGCACACAGTCAATGTAAACTGTCTTACACTCAGCTCTGCTATTCAACCCCATCCTCAGTCAAATATTATTACTGTCAGTAGGAAAACTGTTTTGCCCACCTGGGCTTTGGTGGGCACCTGATTAGACACATGCAAGTCTTCTTTCAGAAACATTTTGCATTAAAAACTGATGCAGCCTGCTTGTCACACAGGTGGTCGTAGAGGGAACTATGGGTGTTCATTCCACTGCCAGTGACAGAGAACTGTGATACTTGAACCCATGTAGCTCAGCTTGTGCTAAGAAAATTGTGTGTTTAAGCTTTCAAGAGAAGCAGTCAAGAGAGAACAGCATTAGGGAGAGTCTAAGAATTAGTGGTGGGGCCATTAGGTAAAATTTAAACAGCAGATAAAACCTGTAGAACTGCGGGTTACATCTGAGCAGCGGACAGGCAGGTCTCCTTAGTTTCTCTTCCTGTCTGGTGCTGGATCACACAAACGACTCAAAGGGGAATTAGCAGGAGTGTTTCACCTAACTATTTAAATCCACATTAACCTCTTTCCTCACCACAATGGAAGTGTCAGCAGCACATCAGCAGCTGCTGGAAGCTGAAGCTTTGCTGTAGTTGCCGTCAGAAAATTGCCAACACAGAAAAGGCTGTTTCCTTGAAAAGTGAAGTTGAAGTTAATGCTGAAGGCTTGAGGATTTACGAAGCTTTGCTTACAGTGGTGAGAGAGATCCCTGAAGGAAAGGTGCCAGGAAAGAGCAAACAAGAGTTGGAGTGATTAAAGAAATGGAAAAAAACCAAACCAAAACAAAAAACAACAACAAAAACAAAAAACCACCAAAAAACCCCACAAAAACAACAAAACACAAACAACAAAAAAAAACCGAAACAAACCACAAACGCAGGACAAACAAACAAAAAAGCCTGCCGAGGCCATCATCACGCCCCTTCAGCGCTGCCGCACCCTGCCGCGCTTTCCTGAAATGACCTTTGGTTTGTGCTCCTGACAATAGAGCTGAGTTTCCTGCTCGGGTGCTGGGGACCCGCAGGGATCAACAGGAACTGCCGACCCTGTGGTCTGCAGAAACGGGAAAAAGGAGAAAGAGAAGCAGACAGCTGGTCAGCTAACACAAGAGCTGTCAACAGCAGGCAGCCCTGGGAAGGTGAGAAGACAAACTCCAATAAGGGAGAGATTTAAGATCTTATGGAGAGGCACAGGAACAGCTTGAAGCTGATTCAGCACAAATAACAGCTCAGAGAAAAACCAGCTGGTTTCCTGTCTCTCTTATGATTTCGCTTCTGCAACATTCATTTTCTTTTAGAAACATTCGATTTCCTTATAGCAGATCTTCCTACTAAGACTGAGAGTCTGTCACGTGTTGGCTTTCAATAACATGTTCCTGGTTAGATCATATCACCCAGACACAGCTGAAGCTTGGGGCATGTTATCTCACTATGGTTCTCCCTTCTCAACTGTGTAATTGTGCCAACTGTTAAATAGGAATGAACTGGAAGAGTGCTCTGAGAGTGCTCCTTGGGCTCCTGCTCAGTGAAGCCACAGCAAGAACCAGCTTTTGTGACTGCTCCAGTGGAGCAGCTTCCCAGAGGCCTGTGCTTCCCACAGTTATACTTCTTTATTTAAGGAACTGAAACAAAAAAACATCAGAGCTCAAAACCACAATGGACTTTTTTTTTTTTTCTCTTCCCCCGTTTTGCAACCCTATAAATTGCAGCAGCGTGTTGGCTTTCAATAACATGTTCCTGGTTAGATCATATCACCCAGACACAGCTGAAGCTTGGGGCATGTTATCTCACTATGGTTCTCCCTTCTCAACTGTGTAATTGTGCCAACTGTTAAATAGGAATGAACTGGAAGAGTGCTCTGAGAGTGCTCCTTGGGCTCCTGCTCAGTGAAGCCACAGCAAGAACCAGCTTTTGTGACTGCTCCAGTGGAGCAGCTTCCCAGAGGCCTGTGCTTCCCACAGTTATACTTCTTTATTTAAGGAACTGAAACAAAAAAACATCAGAGCTCAAAACCACAATGGACTTTTTTTTTTTTTGCTCTGCCCCTGTTGTGCAACCCTATAATTAGCAGCAGCCCCACTCTGCGCTGCTCCCGCCGTAACAGACTGTGATTTGTCACACACCAGTAAGGTCTTCACACACGAATAAAACCCTGCAGAGTGGTGGGCCAGATCCAGAGCTGATGCAAGTCAGCTCCTCTCTGAACAGTGGGGCCTCCTGCCTTATACCACTGCACTCAGATAGAGGGCTCCAAGCACGGCCATGGGGGAAATGAGCATTTCAGATGCTCTGGCTCACGGGAGGGTCTATTAACAAATTTTGTGAACTAAAGTCCCCAACTGTTCTTATTACTCTATTTAAAAATAAAATAAATAATAGATAAATGCCTGCAACTCTACTGTCCCACTGGTTTGTGCTGAGCTACACTGGTTGGGAAAGTATCTCCTCTTGTCACATATGCCCAAGAGAGGAGTTAATTTCTTTGTTCCCACAGAGATAATGGCAGAAGTTGCCTTTGAAGATTGTGCCTCTATGGGGTGAGGAAGTAGTACTAAGCAGGACAGGATCAAGGTTCCTTTGTTCTTGGCCTCACTCGAGGAACGGTCATTTAAATGATTTGCCCATAAGGTCTGTCTCCAAATTCACAAAGAAGAACAAGCCTCTGGTCATCCCTGGGTTTGCCTAAGTGAGCAAAATAAAGTGCCTGAGTCCAGCAACACAAAGGACTGCTGTGTCCTTCTTCCCTGTGGCCTGATTTCATGAGCACTTTCCTTCCACTTGGGTCTGCTGAGCACTGAGAGCACTGGGAGCACACAGAGGTCTCAGGAAGCACCCTGGCCTCCTGCCTTGGTGACCTGGAGGGGCTGCTGTGATTTGTGGAGCAGCTGTCAGGCTATGGCTGCAAAATGTAGTCCTGGGCACCACACGCTGCAGACTACGAGGGAGAACACGTCATACAGCCTGACACATTCCTCAGCTGTTTACCTGCCTTCCCGCCACTGAAAACCCAACAAACTTGTTTTGAATCAATGGTTTCTTATGTTACAGGAATGGTATGGTCAAAGGGCAGCTTTCCCTGGACCAGTCTGTATTACAAACGGGTGTTCACACAGCTCAAGAGGGACCCTGAACATACAAAGTCAAGCAAATAAGCCTATGTGCCATATAGGTTATATAGCAAAGGACAAGAAATGGAGGCAACACATTCTCAGAAACATCAGAAGCTTCTCCATGACCAACCTAAGCTGCTCAGACACCAGATCACAATCGAGAGGATTGCACTGCAGGATACCACCAGAGCCAGCACACAGCCACTACACTGGGAACAGCCATGCAAAAACCTCATCCAGCCATAGCCTTTGTTTGAACATCTAATCCTGAGAAGCACCATGTCTTCGAGCACTTCTGCCTCTCCCACACACTAGCCCCCCATCACCACTGTGCATGCTGCCTCCAGCCAGGCATCAATGGGGTTGAGGTTACCTATACAGAGAGAGAAATCCCAGCCCTGTTTCAGGTGTGGCCACTTCCAGAACATATGCAGGGGAAAGTGGTTCTGACAGACTTCAGAAGTCATCAGCGTTTCTAGTCACTGGACTTCAGAGGCTACACTCCCACAGACCAGAGCTTCTCGACAGACCCTCATGGGTCTGTATTACACCATGGCATCTTTTCCTTTTTGAAGCTGTGTTATGATGGGAGAGGCTGGCAATTATTGGCTTTCAGCCACAAATCAGTTCTTTTGTTATGTCTGGACCATCTGTGCTTTCTTTACCTCAAGCTGTTTTCTTTTCCCCCTAAAAACAGAAGTCCATCCTTAGGTGCCACTGCACCACATATCAGCTCTCCAAGAGAGGAGGCAGATGAATGTCTCACATAAGATTGGCAGCTCTCCTAACACTGTGTGACAACCACGAAGTCACAAGGGCAACTTGCTGTTGTTTCTCATAAAAAGAATCATCTGACATTACAGCAAGAGGAGGTAAGCACGCCCTGGCTCTTGTCGGCCAGTGACACGCTGCACGGGCTCTGTGCTGCCACAGGGCGGATCCAGCAGGAGGAGGGAGGCCTTAAGTCATAAACGGCACACGGCTCATTTCCCTACGGCTTGCTTGAGGCCAAGGCTACTATCACCTTGGATAGTGACATAGCAGTGTGTCAGGAGTGTTTGCTAACAGAAAGCAGACCCATCCCTCCGTGTCTTCTTGCCCACCACAAACACACCCCATCCCTCTACATCTTCCTTCTCAGCACAAACACAACCTTGTTCATCTCTCCTACACCACCAAAAGCACAGCTAGCCCTCCCATCTCTCCTTTCCTAGTGCCAGCACATCTCACACCTCCTCCCCTCCTTGCCCAGAGTTGCAAGCCACATCCCTCCAGCTCTCTGGGACCAGCGTAAGCCCATCTCATTCCTCTGTCTTCTCTTACCTAAGCACATAGAATCACAGAATGATTTTGCTCATAAAAGACTTTTACGATTGTCATGTCCAACCATAAACATAGCACACTGCCAAATCCATCACTAAACCATGGGCCTATACAACACACCTGTATGTTTTTTAAATCCCTCCAGGCATGGTGAATCCACCACTTCCCTGGACAGCCTGTTCCAGTGCCTGACAACCCTTTCAGTGAAGAAATTTTTCCTAATATCCAATCTAAACCTGCCCTGACAACTTGCTCCTGTTTTATTCCTTGTTAATTAGGAGAAGAGACCAACTCCTACCTCGCTACAGCTTCCTTTCAGGGAGTTGTAAAGAGCAATAAGGTGTCCCTCCAGCCTCCTTCTCCCCAGACTAAACAACTCCACTATGGTACTCGTCAGAATTGTTCTCCAGACCCTTCACCAGCTTCGTTGCCCTTCTCTGGACTCATTGCAGCCCTTCAATGTCCTTCTTGTAGTGAGGGGCCTAAAACTGAATACAGGATTTGAGGTGCTACATCACCACTGCTGAGCACAGGGGGACAATCCCTGCCCTAGTCCTGCTGGCCACACTATTCCTGACACAGGCCAGGATGCTGTTGGCCTTCTTGGCCACCTGGGCACACACTGGCTGATGTTAAACTGGCTGTTCACCAGCACCCCCAGGTCCTTTTCCTCTGGGCAGCTTTTCAGCCACTCCTCCCCCAGCCCGTAGTGC